TCCTCCAGCTTCGGATACTGCTATGCAGTGGATGATTTTTAATAATATCCAATAATAAAATGATTAACTTTGTAATAAACTACCTATCTTTTCATAGCCAAGGTGAAACAGAATCCCAGGCTGTTTTGATGTAGGTACTATCCCCCTTTCCAGCACATGAGAAATTGTAGGTAGGGACAAAATGGAGCATACGATTGTCTCAGAGAGAGGCTAGTTTTAAAACATTGAAGAAAACAAATTAAACTGATGCAAGGAGACTTATTGAAGACAACAGCAGATGAATGGCTCACAAGCTCAGAGTTTGTATTCATAACATAGATTCTCCTTTAACTTTTTCTATTTTGTATTATTATTGTTGTTGAAATTATAATATAAAATGAAAGAAAATAGGAAGATGGGATTTGAAGAGAATTGCCTCAATGTCTCAGAGGGAGCAAAATTTTAATTCTTCAATTTATGTGACTTTCATCATGAGATTTTCCAATAGGATTTGCAAACTTCTCTATTTTCAGAAATTGCATTATTCACCTCTGAATTGCATTACTGATCACTTTGGAGATTAATTGGGCCAATTGTTTATCAGCACACAGAAACACTATATAGTAATTTAGGACAAGAAGTGACAAATATCACGGCAGATCTCAAACTGTGGTCCACAGAGCATTTCCTGGTTGTCCATCAAGAGCTAACTGGTCAAATGACTTTGGTTCTCCTGCTTGTTCCCAGCTGCTAAATTACATGAAAAGACAGCTAAAATTACATTAAATATTTTCCTAATATTACATTTCTATGTAAGCAATTGCTGTAGTTGCCATGGGGATGTAATGTGATCTGGAAATGGAGGGGAAGTGGTCTATATGATCATGAAGGGGAGGTGGTTCATGCAGTTGTGAATGTGGGAAAAAGTGATACATGAGACAGTCTATTAGTGGTACACGATATGAAAAAGTTTGAAAAGTTGAGTAGTAAAGTGTATGATTTTCCTTTAAAACAAGATTCTGAGCTGGGTGGCTGGGGCTTCTGGCAACATTCCATCAGGATGCACCGTGGCAACTAGGCAGAAGTTGGGAAAAGTCTTTTGGAAAACGACATTCAGACATGAGAGGTGAGGGGATGGGGAAGGAGCTGGAGGAGAGTCATCTGGGCAGATTGTGAAGATGAGAGCTACAGTGAGGATCAGTGGACATGAAAAGGACACAAAGTTACCACAAGTAAAATAAAGTAAAAGAATTAAGAGCTAATTGCAGAGTCAGGTCACATGAAGAAAAAATATAAGTAAGAAAGGAAATTTAATAATTAATTTGGAGTCAACTGGGAAAATAATGCCCAAGAAGAATAAGATACAAGAATAAATAGCAGGAGCTGCCACTGTAGCTTCTTGGTGGATGAATAATGTTTTAATATCTTAAAGACCTAGGAAACCAAGGGAAAAAATCTGAATTTCTAACAGGTGTGTGAACTGCAGATAACAACTGACGAATAATGGCCCACATTTTCAGGACTGGCTGGCTGATGCCCAGTGTAGATTGGAGTGGGGAAAAGAAGAGGCTGCAAAGAAAGCTGTAAGCCACTTTTGTATGGCTCCTTGGTCCTTTAAATAAATTAAATAAACATTCCATCCTTGGGACACTGGGTGCTGATCCAGTCCTGCAGGGCACCTTACAGCAGCTGCAGTTCTAAAAGGAGTTCCATATACTTCTCTTTGAGCAGAAGAATTATGACATAAGCCACCGAAAGTAGAAGGTTGGTGAAAAGCACAATAATAAATCAGAAAGGTCCTCAGGGCTCCATGAGAGACATGAGACATTAGGGGGTAAGTATTAAAATGGTTATTTCATTTTTTAAAAAATGAACTCCTAAAGGAAAAGCTTTCTCCCAGTTTAGTTAATAAATATACTTTCCACTTATTTATATAGCACTTTCCATCTGAGGATCTCAAAGTATTTTACAAAATGTAAATGAGTTAAGCATCACAAGACCCCTAAGTTAGATCTCCTCACCACCGCTTTGCCGATGAGGCTAAAGCTGAAAAGATGATTACTAACTTGCCTAAGGTCACACAAGACATCAGGTCAGAACCAGGAAAAGAGCCAAAATCTCCTGACTCACTGTTCTGTGCTTTTGCTGTAAGACCATTTTTTCCTTTATTTAAATTACACTGAAAGGGTTCCAGTCCGCCTTCTAATAGAGTACTTGTGAAATGGAAGAGTGGAGATCCTGTAAACTGTAATGCCAATTTCATTTAATGAGGTATCTTCCAAAAGTAAATTTTCCATACATATTTGCACTGATTACTTAGTCAAGCTACTTGCTTTTAGGGTTAGAAACTCAGGTTTTTTTTTTCAGATTTTTAGAAATGAGATTAAGTGTCAACCCACCATTTTCCAAACACATTCAAGGGCATTTTTCCATATTCAGGTAAATCTGAGAATGCAGGTGGCCTACTTACAATAAAATTGCTCCAGGTTATAGAGATAGAGAAAAGTGAGCACAGATGAATAGTTTGGAAACTGTAGCATCTGGAACCATTTTATGCCTCATCTATCAATCTGCGTTTATGGGAATTGAGAATTAACATTTCAAACCACACTTCCTTACTTCATGACTGATGAATCCCAGATCTGAGGTCATTATTCCACCCCCAAAGCAATATAGAGAGATATTTGTGAAGGTCACACTAAAGAATCTTTGGTAACTCTCACTTATGTTCTCTTTTCAATTAAAAGGTAATAATGAAATATATATTGTTAAGGTTGTAAGAAACATTCCATTGCAAGTCCCTGTTTCCACCTCTCAACTTCTGTCAAAAATGCTTTTTAACTGATACTTCTCTTAGTATGTGTCTGAACAAACATGAATATTTTTTCTGGAAAGTTTGAATAAAACCAGGTAAGTAGGTTATGAGATACATAAGCTATAACACAAGTTTGTTTGTTCATTATTAATATTAAATATTATTTGTTCTCTGCTAGTAATATAGCTTTGTATTACCAAATTAGAATTGTTTACATATGTGGTACTGAGTGTCCCACTTAAGGCTAGGAAATGTTTTTAGACTAATAAGGTGTTTGAAATATTAAACTGTTTTTGTTATGCATTCTGGTCACACAACTATTTTATTCTGGTTTTGCTAGTCAGACAGCTATTGTATTATTATTATGCGTGTGCTGGTCAGACATCTATTGTTTAATATGTGCACTTTGTTGATTTTACACCTGTTGTATTATGTGGCTGTTGGGTAGGCATACAATATATAACAATTGTACAAAATTTAAGATTTGGACCAGAAGAAAAGGCTGGAGTGGGGTAGGGGTATGAAGGAGAGTGAAGGAAGACAAAAATTATTTTCACTAGTTCATCTTTCAGACTTCACAAAGTATTACACCGCAACTAAAAGGCATGGACAGTTTTTACTCAAGGCAAGACCTACTCAGACCTTTCTTTTTAGGTTTATTTAGCATATATAACTAACACAGAAGGTAAGTGTATTAAAATCTTAACTTTTTACCCTTACTTTTTTTAAACTAGTGGATGGTCCTGCAGTAAACAGACAGCTGAGGCAGTAAATTGAAAAACAATAATAAATGTTTACTGATTAAGTAGTTTCCTTAAATTTTATACATCACTAGCTATATAAAATCTTAGGGAGATTTGATGATGTAACCGTCAATCCACCAAGTTAAACCCCTTCCATAAAAACTATATCCTTTTTTTTGGTCAGAAAACTGCAGACATATTTTTCAAGTCTCTTCCCTTTATCAAAACCAGAGAAATGGGGATAATAACAATAACAAATGTGCCCAGCCTGGAATTACATTATCAAATAGGAGATGTGAATTTTGGTTCTGAGCCAGCAGGAGATAGAAATACTTTGGGAGCAGAATGCTTCTCCCCTGGGGATAATCTTGCTCTTGACAAGCAACGCTACCCCATCATGCCTAATACTAAGAGTGTCACTTGTGGATTTGGGAGTGAACCATATGGACAGATTCCCTTTTGGGTGGATGGAGAATCAAAACAATTTGATGTTTTTGAAAGATGGGAGAGTAATGTTAGACGAATCTGACAGATGACTGTCAAACCTTAGAAGTGAAGTTGGTGACAAAATAAAATACACATTTTCTGTACTTGGAATAACATTTTAAACTTTTTAGTTATTGGATTATTATAGTTTGTAATCATACAATTATTGTACTTTTAGCATAAAGCTACTATATCTTCACTTGGAATAATATTTCAGTCAATTTTAAATTAGAAGTTAAATAGGGAAAGATCCTCAGCTGGTGTAAATTGTCATAATTCCATTGAAGTCAATAAGCTAAGGATCTATCCCATATTATTTGGGAAGCCAGTTAGCTGAAGCAGCTTATGGAATCCATTTTTCTCCATGTGATAAGACACAGCTCAAATATAATAGGTCCCAGTCTTAAAAAGATTTATGTATCTGCTTAACATTGTGAGCATGAGGAACACCAGTGAAGTCAATGAGAGTACTTGTGTATAAAGTTAAGCATGTGTATAAGTGTCAGAGGATCAGAGACATAATCATTAATAATTTATATACCTCCAACTGCTTGTTCTCCGTAGATTAGTTGATCTATATCAAGTAACTTGCACTTGGCTGTATGAAAACATATGTATTGCATTAGGAAAGTAGTATATTGGTATATAGATGCTAGAACTGAGGACTAGGAAAGAATTGTTGCGAAAGAACATTCCCAGCCCTGTCACTTACTTCCTGTGTGACCTTCAACAACTAATTTTACCTCTCTGGGCCTACATTTTTTAATCTGTACAACGTGGATAGTAATAAAGGCCGGGTGTGTTTTGCACCACGTCAGAGCTAAATTCCGCAGCAGTTCCACGTACCATTTACAATGCAGGTCTTTATTCAATTACATATGAAAATGAATTATTCAATTATTATAGCATCACTTGTACTATTTACATTTGACCATACGTTTAGATTTAAATGATTTTTATATTGAAAAATGCGTAACTGTTATTGTAGCAGGGAGCAGGAGACTTTGGCACCTCAGACGGCACGGCACAGCACAGCGGGTAGTGTGGATTTGGGGGCTGTCACGGTGATCTGCAGAGGAACGGCGAGCCCGGGGTGTATAACTGTCCAAGGCTGTAACAGTTAGAGCGCAGGACCAGGCTGCCACGGCGGGGCGGCTTCGCCCTCAGCGCGGCGGCGGCGTGACTTGGCGGGAGGCATCATTCCACAGTCGGCGGCTAAAGGGACCTTGGCCGCGCAGCCTGGGCGGCGCCGAGCCCCGCAGCGGGGGGCCCATCCGGCCATGGGTGATCGCCGGGCGGCGCTCAGCTGCCGGGATCCCTCAGGCCGGCAGCTCCCCATGGGCAGCAGCAGGGTGTGCGTAGGCTTCCCGCTGTCTGTACTGGCGGAGAGAAGCCGCGCTGGCTGCCCGCCCCGCGCGCGCCCGGCCAAGGCGGAACCTTTGTGCGGGGCTGCCTGCTGTAGGGCTGGGGGAGGGAGTTAACAGGCACTCGCCGCCGGCTGCTTCCTTCCTTCCTTCCTTCCTGCTGGCGCGCGCCGCCCGTGACCCGCCGCCTGGCTCGGGGTGAGTGTCCCGTGCGGAGCGGGCTGTGGGCCCCCTCAGGCCTGTGGGGTCGGCGGGCTGGGCCGGGCCGGGGCAGCGCGGAGGTCACAGGCGGGGATTCCCGCACTTGCTTGCGCGTCCTGGTAACCCGCGGCTCGGGGTGGGGGAGGGAGAGAGGGACGGACGGTGCTTCCTGCCCGCCACCCACCCAGCATTGCATCGCCGGGGCTGCCCCCCGGGCCGGGATGCTCCTTCCCCCTCCCCTGCTGCCCAGGCCCGGTGCTCCAGTCCCTGCCCTCCTACTGCAGCATTTCTCGCCCGCCATTGCCCCGGGGCTCCAGTGGTAATTCCCGGCCCGCTCCTGCCACTGCGGCAGCCGGTGCTGCTTCTCTAGTGAGTAGCCACCCTGCTCAAGAGGTACCAGCGCTATCGCCCTTCAATGACTGGCGATAACATTGTGCCCCTATAGTCTCCTCTATCTTCGGTTTTTAAAGCACTTTATACTCTGAAATCGTCCTAATACCCTGTCACTCCTGTTTTGCAGATAGGGAATTGAAGTCTGTAGAGATTAAATTACTTGCACAGGGTTGCATAGGTGGTCTGCAGTTGAGCTGGGAAGAGACTTGCCGTCTCCTGACTGTGCCACTTTTGTATTTTCCTAGCTTACCCATTTTGGACAGTGTAGGCCCACATTGGTGATCAGCCTATGATGTTCACACTTGTTGGGAAGCAGCACGGATAAAAATCAATTATTTTAAAAAATTGATTTTTTTATTTAAATTGGATTATTTTTATAAAAATGCTTTTTGAGGGGAATAAACCTATCTAAAGATAGTTTTAATTAAGGTACATTATGGCTCAAAGATATCTCATTGTGTAATAGGGATTATTAATTCTATAGTATGAGACAATATTATTCATGTACTGTTTAAGAAACATTTTGTAAATGAGCTCCAATAGTTAATGGATTAGGGACCCAATTTTAGGGTTCCAGGGTCTTCTGTATAGATTATTTAGATTAATCTTTCTATCTACGCAATGGGACTCAGTGCTCAGTCTAGAAGACACCATCAGAGATGCTTAGTTTTACAGTTCTCAAACTGTGGATTTGTGTCTCCAGGGATAATATGCTTGTTAACAGCAAAAATGTTTTTAAATAAATAAAATATAGAGGTGTGAAATAACAGACCTCAACCCTATTGTCCCTCTGCAAATTTGTGTACACAGTCAATCCCTTACCTCTCTCTAAAAGTGCAAACTTTCAGAAAGTTCAATGAATAGAAGTTTGTTTGGGGTGAAATAGATCTGGACAAGGAAAAGAAGTAGAGATAAATGGGAGAAGGGAGGGGCAGGCAGTAGAAACAAAAGTGAAACTGTTTGAGCAGCATATTCCAGAAGTCTTGAGGTCTTTCTGAGTGTAGCCTTCATTGATTTGAGATCTACCATACTATTCTCTCACTGGAAGGGAAAACCTGTAATAGCAGCAGGCCTTAAAAGAGACTCAGTTTGGGTCTCATCTCTCTCTGAATTGTGAAGAATATGTTTTAAGGTTATAACAACCAACAAGAATGCACTTTTATGTAGAAATCCATGATTAAATTGAGTCTTCCTGACTACTGATTTAAATCAAATCTACCCTGATGGGAAGAGTCTACATGTTGCTTATGAGAATCCTTTAGCTCACCCAAATACTAAAGAAAGCGGTTGGTGTGAGCTCTTCCGTTTTTAGGGTTTCCCTCTGAGCTTCTGGCAAATTTACAGCAGGGTTTTTGGATTAACCTGCAATAGGGACTAAACCATACATAATTGATGCCATCTGCCCTCAGATAGAAATGAAGTCCAGTACCCCAATAACTATTTGACAGTTAGGCCTACTGTTGTATGTATGTTGGGTTACATCTGTTTCCCGTTTATAAATGCCCCCGTTTAACACTATCAAGCTTTCTTGTATTAGGTCAAAATATTCTGGGTTTAGACTTTGGTTGAAGGTGAACTGGTGATCTCGGGCATGTGTAAAATAAGAACAAAAAGTGGTTTGACAGTTTCCAGATGAGGAGAGGTGAGGGGAAAAATAAATTTACCAATTATAAAAACAAATCTCTCTCTCTTTTTTTTTTTTAAAGTATGCCATAACAGCTGGGAGATAAAAGGCTGAAATTGGCAGGAAAATAGGCCCTAGTTATAAATGTGTGTAAGGAGTCAGATGAAAAATATGTTTTGATTTGACTGAGTTATTAGGATTAAAATTTAGCATGATCTTATGTACTACTGTACTATTTTTGGTGGTGTACAACTTTTTTAGCACTTTTTACTGACAGTCTAAGCAGAATTGGTATAGCTAATTTAACTGTTTAATGCACATATATGCTTTCAAACGGGGCATGTTGAATGAACAGTTCTCCTATGGAGCACGTTTTTAACATGTATTGGCAGAGTTTTCTATGACCTTAAACCCTTTCCTCATTGACTAAAGTGCGCATGCAAAAAGCAGTGGTTCTTTGCATGGAATGTTAGTTTGTGCTACTGTACCTGCCCTCTAGCGTATATCCTATAGTCTTTATATGCTTTTGACATTGGGCAGATTATTTGGGGAAAGTCCCATGAGACAGACATACTGGATGTTTTAAAAGTAGAGAAGGCGTGCTGTAACCTCTCCTCCAATCTTGTGACCTTCTGATGTCCTTGGTGTGGTCTCTGACTCTTTTCAGACAATATTGCCACAATAAAAACCACAGTGCTATTTATAGCGAATGAAACAACAATCGGAAGGAGAAATGACACTTTTAGTACCTTTTTTACCTTTATGTAAGTAATAAACTATGTGTAACTTAATGAAGACTTCCATTATAAGCGAGCCGGAGGGCCTGTTTAGGGATTGGGATTTAGGCTAGCCAAGAGCTGTATTGAGGTGATTGGTATTACTGTGACAGCTTTTGAAGACTTGATTACCAATGATTTTGGCACTCATACCTGCTAGTTAAAGAGGGAGTGATGGAAAGGGGGGAGGGAGAGCTCAGTGGTTTGAGCATTGGCCTGCTAAACCCAGGGTTGTGAGTTCAATCCTTGAGGGACCATTTAGGGATTTGGGGCAAAAATCTGTTTGGGGATTGGTCCTGCTTTGAGCATGAGGTTGGACTAGATGACCTCCTGAGGTCCCTTCCAACCCTGGTATTCTATGATTCCAAGAGAAGGTTGTGAAGTACACAGATATTTGAGCCCCCTCATTTAATCCATAGTGTGCACTGGAGCCATTTTAGGAGGAGGAAATGCCTAAAAGGGTTTGAGGTGAGGTGGTTGCCAGTATGCTTTGTTTTGTGGTAGCAGCTCAGAGGCCATAGTTAAGGATCAGGTCCCCATTGTATTAGGTATTGTACCAGTACAACAAAAAGATGCTCCCTGATCTAAAGAGTTTATAATTTACCAGGAAAATATAGCAAATGGAAGAGAGGGAAGGTCCCTGAATAAAAGCACTCAGCTATTATCTATGCTTACATCTTGAAAAGAGGAGCATTTGCTCTTGCGCAGATGTCCATGGAAAGTCAAGAATTTTTTTAATGATAAGATAAGCAAAGTATGTCTTTGGAGAGCAAGAGAAACCAGAACAGCTGCCCAGTTTTGTATGCTTGTGGAGGGCTTTTGTACAGGCAGGTAGAAGGGTGCAACAACAAACAATTAAAATAAATTAAAATGCAGCCATTGGTAAGGCACAGCAAGGCTAAGGGACGCTCCCTGCCTGTCGCGGCCCCATGCCGCTCCCAGAAGGGACCAACGTGCCCCTGTGGCCCCTGGGTGGGGGCGAGGGGCACGTGGCTCTGCGTGCTGCTCCTCTCTGCAGGCACTGCCCCCAAAACTCCCATTGGCTGAGAACAGGGAACTGTGGCCAATGGGAGCTATGGGGGTGGTGCTTGCAGGCAGAGCAGCGCATGGAGACCCCTGGTCCCTTCCCCCAGACCTCGGGGGCATGCTGGCCGCTTCCAGGAGCGGCGTGGGGCCGTGACAGGCAGGGAGCTCCGCTGCGCCGCAGCGGCCAGAGATCGTGATTGACTGGGAGAGTCCCCAGGATCAACGGGTTGGCGACCACTGCCCTAAAAAGGAAGGCATCAGTGGTTGAATGAAGCTGCTCAAAGTTTTCAAACTTGAGATCCTCCTAGTTCAGTAGCACATAGTCCTGGTCTACACCTAAAAATTAGATTGACCAAACTACCTTGCTCAGGGCTGTGAAAAATTTTGCAACCATGTGATGCCATTAAGTTGAGATTTCCTTCACTGGAGAAGCAGTTGGGTCAACAGAAGAATTCTTTCACTGACCTAGCTACCGCCTCTCAGAGGTGGATTACCTGCATGGATGGAAAAAAACCCCTTCTGTTGATGTAGGAAGAGTCCACACTACTCCAGAATAGCTGCAGCACCATAGCTGTGCTGCTGTAATGTAGACATACCCATAGATTGCATCCTTCCACTGACCCCCAGATTCCGAATCTGAATTTTTTACATTTTAGGACCAGGAGAAATTATTATTTCTCCATCTGGTGTCACATCTAGGGAGGCTGCATCGCCTAAAGG